AAACAAGGGCTGGGAAAAGATTGAATGAGCTTTACCTTTAAATATATATATATATCTTATTTGAATTTTTGTATTAGTTTACTGTGATTCTTTTATTGTCATTTTTCTAAACAGGTTTCACAAGAAACCATTGAAAGGGACTCAAATATGCAACACCTAATCTATTTTCCAAGGGAATTTTACCCTTGAATGGTGCTTTTTGACTGGTCAGGGTTATTTATTAAATTTTATATTTGAAAATATTTGGGGAATTATGTAAATTCTTTATATGAATCTGTTTATTTCTTGAATTGTAAATTTCATAATACTCAGTGATTGAATTGGAATTTTAGTAAAGTCATTCAAAATGTTCAAAGTTTATAATCTGTGTGCATTTTACATATATTTTAACAAGTGCCAGAATAGTTGTATTTAATGTTGTAGATTTAATACTACTTGCACATCCCTGTGACAGCATTAACTTAAGTTACGCAAGTTTACATTTAAAAAAAAAATGCTAAACAAACAAGTAAGCCTGGGACATGTGTTCCTGTATTTCTTCAGGGGATGTGAAGCTAAGTATCAGTAACTGAGCAGGGTCGCTTCTAGTTTATGTAAGTAACTCCTGCTATGGTAGATACAATGAACTGCTGTCTCTCCCACTTACACATGCTATGAATTCAGCCTTTGGACTTGGATTGCAAGCCTCTGGTTGTCTATCTGATTAGAGGTAGAGCTCTTGCACGATTTTAACAGTGTTTGTTTCTGACTGAAAAATTGTATTTTTAAATAACTTGTATTTGTATGGTTGTTTTTCATGATAAATAATTGAACAGTTTGAATGACTTGACTTGGTGTCATTATCTTGCAATATAAACCGGTAACCTCACAACTCCACACTTCATCACCATATGAAGTAAATGAAGCTAGCTAAGCTGATGCTGTAACAATTAATAACTTGCCATTAAGGATTATTTTATAGCATGAATTTTAAAGTATTTATTCAAATGATATTTTACTCTTGTATTCACTTTGTTTTTAGATTTGTGACATGAATATTTCAGTGCTGCTTTATTCTGATGAATTTGTTTCTTGCTTGTAAATTGCTTTTTTTATGGTATAAAGTCAATGGGAATTGCTGTTTGTAAATTAAAATGCTTCTAGAGCAAATCTATGGTGTCAGTGTCTACATTTAGATATTTAATTACTAAGGGACTTGCATTCTAGATGCTTTTCCTGAAGTGTTATAAAAAGTTGCAGTTTAATATTCATGTACCAACTAGGAATCAAAAATCTTTAGAGACAAACTACTCTTGAAGTTTCTCTTTTTTGCCAGCATTGGTTGTTTAGTTCTGGACAGATGATCATTTGAGTTTTGCGCTCCAAAAACTTTTCCAACTCTCAAAGCAAAACAAAAAAAACTGGTGGGGTGGTGGCAATCTGTCTAACAGCAAGCCAGAGGCAAGTCAGTTGGGTAGGGAGGTAATGTTTCATTTCTACAGCAGCATTTGTGTTTTATATTATGCCATATGTAACAGTAGAGCTAATACTATTCTTGGCAAGTGTGGGATACAGCTCCTCCTAGCCCACAAGCTTGAATTTA